GAAATCAGTATGGAGATTCCTCAAAAAACTAGGATTAGGGCCAGGGGTATAGCTCAGCAGCACAATGCCTGCCCGGCAAGTTGAGGCCCTGAGTTTCATTCCCAGTACTAAAACAACAACAATAACAACAACTGGGATTGGAGGTCCCATTTGACCCAGCTATTTCCCTTCTGGGTATCTTCCCAAAAAATTAAAAACATCATACCATCATACTAATATATGTGCACCCATGTTTACAGCAGCACATTTGTAGCAGCTAAATCATGGAAACAACCCAAATGCCCTTCAGTAGAGGAATGGATAAAGAAAAATTTTTTTTATATCACGGAGTACTACTCAGCCATAAAGAAGGATAAATTTGAGGCATTTCTAGATAAATGGATGCACCTTGAGACCATACTCTTCAGGGAAATAAATTGGACTCACATATGTAAACATCACATTGTCTCCCTGGCATCAGACACTGAAAGAGCAAATGAGGACCAAAATGTACAATAGGTATTGTGAAATGAGAAGAAATTGCTCAAAAGGAGAGAAGAAGTAGGGTGGGGAAAAGGGAAAAGGAAGATAGGGAAAAAAGATTTTAAGAAAAGGATAAAATGGAAACAAAGCTTTGTAAAGAGGGAGGGGAAGATGGGTTAAAGGGAAAAGAGGGGGTTGGGAAAAATAGAGACATTGACATATGTACAGGTACAAATTCCTTATGATGAATATGACCATTTTGTCTAACTAAATGTACCAATGAGCAATTATATTTTAAAAAAAGAAGGGAAAGATGCTGAAGAAGCCACAATTGTGTGGAAGAAAAAGCACAGGACTTGAATTCAGATGGCAGAGTGTAAATACCACCAGCTGTGCAGGCCTAGGCAAGTTTGTTTACCTTGCTGAACCTGGTTCTGTTTCTGGAAGTGGGGATGAGTTAAGTACCTCACAGATGTGTACTGAAGACCGAGTGGATGATAGAGAACATCTGGCAAAGTCTAACCTTTTGCTCTTCAAAGTGGATGCGCAGCATTAGCATCGCGCAGGAGTCTGTGAAAAAGGCCGTTCTCAGGCCCTACCCACACCTACGGCAGTAGAATCTGTATTTCACCATGATTCGCAGGTGAGCTGTGTGCACATTCAAGTTTGAAGAGCTCTGCCCTAAGGCACTAAGTGAATGTATCCTGCTGTAACCATGAGGCTCTATTTTGTTTTCATAGAATGACAAGGAAATACAACATGGCAAAATCTACAGGACTGAGCCCTTCCGGGAGATTTCTGCAATCCTCTTCCCTAGTTTCTGACAGCTCACCAGGCGCGGGGAACAAGCCAACCGCGCGAGTGCGTTATTTCTGGAGAATAGTTTCCTCTGCTCATGAAAGGTCCACTGGAGAGAGTCATTGCCTTATAAAATCTTCTGCTTTTTTTGAGCTAGAAGAACCAATAAAATGTCAACACACATATACAAAACTATCCCGGCCCTGGGGAAGATTGTTAAATCCGTGGGTAAATGCAGGTAGAAGCCAAAGTGGAGTTGAAGTGGATTTTAATCTTTCCTGTTCGCAGTGCCTGAGGGCAACAACTAAAGGCAGCAACTCAGAGTGGGAGACTTCTTATCATAAATCTGTCTTTTAATAAATCCTTGGTGTATGAAGGAGACCCATAATAGGTACTTCACAAAACCTGTTGTGTGTTGAATTGAATTGAACTGAATGAACACTTGATCAGCATCCTAACTGCCGTTAAGGTCTTTAGTACAGTTGTGAACTGGGTCAGATTCTGGGTAGATAGGATGGAGGAATTCCTTGACTTTTGGCTGATTGAACTCCATTTTATGTGCACAGGCCCTGTCAGTGCGCATGCGCACCCACAAATTGTCAGGATGGTAATCATTGTCTTTACTGTCAATTCCCCTAGTCAAAACCAGTCTTCGGAACACACACACTTTACTAACTTGTTGGAGTGTCATAATAGAAATGGACTGATTCAAGTTGTAAATCACTTTTACAAAAAAATTGTTTACATTTCCAAAGATTTTAAGTGTCTCAACTACAGAATATTTCAGTTGAATTTATTTGTCCCTAGGGAATGGTGGTATTTAGCTTTTACATTTGTTTAGACACAAAAGAAAAGTGAAACAAGAGGACCAGAAGAGCTAATGGCATTTTCTCCTGGAAAAATGAGGTGCTCTGGTGTAGTATGGAGTTACCTGCAAAGACCATGATTACAAGATGCTCCCAAAGCCCAGAAACATGGGGACAGAAGTACAGTCGTGTGTGTTCTTGGACACATTTACATTTCCTGAAGATTCTGTATCAGCTGGTTTTACTTTACTCAGAGGTAGATTGTGTAAAAGATTATTTGACAACTGGACAACCTGACAGAATGTGCCCATATTTTCACAGGCATTTATTTCCATTTTGCTTTAAAATCTGTATTCACCCAAGATGCAAGCATGTCTGGCCATGTGGTGAGTTCCTAGGGCCTTTTTACATGAAAAGCCAACAAGTCCTTGCTACGCAAAGCAAGGCGAGGCACATTATCTCAGTTCTAGGATAAGGAGCAGCTTTAAGGCAGTGGGGTTATTTATAACACAGTGAGTCCAAATTTCAGATCATTCCCTGATCCAAGCCATGTAAATTCAATCAGGGCCACATCCTTGGAGGAGGAAGCTGCCAGAAAAGATCTCTGAGCAGTGGAGGATGAGGGTCAGATGTCACTAGCCCTAGACTTCTGTTGGTGCAGAGACCAAGTAGAACCCTCGGCATAGCTTCAGCGAGGACACGGACGACCAGCCACTGATGGCAACAGCACTACCGTGAGCAGCTCTTTGTGTCACCTTTGGTAGCTGCCGACAGGTGAGCAGCTGAGGGGCTATGTGGAAAATGTTCCGTCTCCATAAGGGTCAGGGTTCATTAGAACTCTTTTGGGTGTGTGGCAGAATCCAAATTCAAACTAGCTGAAAGATGAAATGTATTAGGCCACCCGACTGCTAAGTCCTTGGGGGCATATCTGACTTAGACATCTCTTCTCATATCTCCGTTCTTTAATGTTTTACGTTGTCTTCATTTTCAGGCAGGCGGTCCTCCATGCTGGGCCCCAGGCTCACTCCACAGTTTCATTACTCCCACACAGAGGCGTTCTTGACTTTTTGCCTCCCAAAAACTTCTGATTGGCCTGACTTGGGTCTTACGCTTCCCCAGAAGTCAAACCCTGCTGCCAGGGGAATGCAGTCTTTCTTTTGCCTGGGCCTGGGTCATGGGTTCCTCTCCAGAGTAAGAGATGGTATTGACTTCACCTGATTCGTAGAGAGGGCGAGCCAGAAGGTGATCATTCACTTGAAGAAAAATCAAGCTTCTGCTGCCACAAGGAGGAAGTCATGCTGAAGGGATTTTGAAGAGATTCTTGCAGCCCTTCCCATCACGAGCACTTGAGACTTAATGAGAAACAAACTTTGTTTGGAAATGAGAGTCTTTTTTATTTTAAAGTGGGCAGAGTGACCAAAAGATTTACAGCCTTCACTCACTACACAGATTTCATCATCTGCCCCCACCACCTACCGAGAGAGAGAGCAGTATCTGTGGGTGAGTCAGTCACTGTCCTGGGGCTCAGCTCCCCACCCACGGTCTCCTTGCCAGCTCCCCGAGTCATCCATGCCCCACCCAACAGGTTCTGCCTTTCCCACCGTTCCCTTGACTCTCCTGGGACAGAGGGCTGCTCTCGGCGCTGAGGGAAAGGGGTGGTGTCTTTTAGAACAAGAGCGCCTCTCCTGCATGCAAAGCTAGCAGAAGGGCAGGCTAAAGAGGTGGGGGTGGGGATTACTCACTTTGCAGTTTCTGGTGCACTGAAAATCGGATTCCTGAGGGTTTTTTGTTTTTTTGTTTTGTTTTGTTTTTAATGTGCTGAGCATGAACCTAGGGCCTCATGTATGTTAGACAAGTGTTCTACCTCTGAGCTACATCCCTAGCCCTAATATCACATTCTTTATTATAAAAGGTGGACTCATTCATAACTTCTGCCTCTTTCCATTTCTCTGTTTAAAACAAACAAACACAAACAAATAAAAGCCTGCGTTATCCTTTGCGTTCCTGGACGCACAGCTCAGGGTCTCCTCCTGGTGGAAGCTTCCCTTTTCCTGTCTCTCACCCTCTCCCTCGTTTACCTGAGAGGCAGCATTTTACCATGCTGCACTCGCACACAGTGCAATGCCAGTGCCATAGCTGTAGGGCTTTTCATACTCTGTGATGGCTCCCTGGGTGGCTACCTATCCGCAATGGCTCAACAAGGCCAGCAATCACCCCAGGCATCTCTTATTTCCTGCTGCTGCATACGGAGTCTGGAACATAGACAGGTCCCGCAAATGTTTATGCAGTGAGTGAAACATGAAGTAACTGAAAATGGACAAACTGCTGTAGACTTCAAGGTGAACAAATGAAGGCTCATCAACACTGGGGTGTTCTTTGTTTTTTTGCTTTTTTTAAATGCTTTTATCTCCTGGAAATGACTAAGAGGCCTTTTCTCTTTAATATAATCAGCAGCTTCCTTATTGTAGATAATTCCAAATAGTGCTTTGAAAGCCAAGAGCGTTCACACTTACAATGTTTTTCAGTAACTATAGAAGATGACAGCTCTGAGATCTTACATCAGTGGAAATACTACAGCTGCCTAATTACTGATAGAATGTGTTCAATGTTTGGATACAATAGGAAATGTTCATTAAATGCTTTATGATTAATCTGCAATGAATTTAGATGCTTATGCAGTTGTGCTGTACAGAATGAAATACAGCAATATAAATATAAATAATGAATACTAAGCACTAGCTGACTATCAGGATTCTAGAATCTTCTAACAGATAATAGACTATTTGATTTTTTGTAGTTTTTATTGAAAGTCATTTAGAGGAGTTAGAAATATGCTTGAAGAAAAGAATAAAAACCTCTTATTCCAAGTAATTATAACATAATAATAATCCTATCATTCCAAACAGTAGCAATAAAAATAATCACAGTGAAAAAGTAAGAGGAATTGAAGTCTGTTTTGTTCAAAGCAATCTTCTTGGTTTATTCCCTGGTAAATAAAGAAAGCAATATTTCCCTTTATCTACTTTTCATTTAATAAATGTTAACTAATTATCTATCATTTTCTAGACAATGTTTTCCAGGTGAAGAAGATGATGGATAAATAACTTATCCTAAGTATAATCAACTGAAACTCTTGAGAACAAGACAGAATTTCCAAAGTCTTCTTTATTCCTTCCAAATAATGTTTTCCAGTGACCAAAGTTACCGATTCCCATGTTCACACAGTATCTTCCACTTTACAAAGAGATTTCACATGTGTACGTCTCAGTGTCCACAAAACTCTCAGCGGTCGTCAGGGCTACTACTAATACAATTTCACTGTTGGGAAAGTGAAATTTAAAGGAGTTAGGTGAATCATCCCAGGTGACACCAATGACAAGTTACTGAGCAAAGACTGCCACCAGACCTCCTAGCTCTATTTAGTTTTCTTCCCAGTTATTTTTCATTTTAAATAAGAAGTCAGACTGATGTGGCCAAAAACTGGCTTAAGAACCCAACTTTGGTGACGTCATGTTATCAAGAGTCTTTCTAAAATATGGCCTCACTTTGTATTTGTGTGGGGCCATAAGGAAATTGATGGATTGAGACTGATCTTTGGCACCCATCCCTTTCTCCAAAATGTGTCCTAAGAATTAACCAAGGATTTTCCATTCACAGAATTCAGCCAAGAAGAGATGGATTGTACACTCACCACTGTTGGTAAATTGAAAGTCTCTGAAGCTGTGTTTCCACAAGCTTTAAACAACCACTCATTAAAAATGTACTAGATTCTAAATCCTTGGATGCTTTTTAAGAGCTCAATTGGCTCTTTCGAATCAGACACAAAAATCGATGATACATGGCCTTGAAGAAACGAAAGCCAAAACACTTTTAGCTTTGCCAAGTGAAGATTTTACTGGCATGCTCCTAAGAGTGAGATTAATCTTTAGCATTCTTAAGTGAGCTGTTAAGCTCTGGTGCAATATAAATAGATGTAACTTAGTGGCTGGTGACAGAAGATTCCACCCATCTCTGTTCCTCTGCCTTCCCCTTACTCTGTATTATGACTAAATGGTCTCTAATCAGCTTACAGGTCCTCAAGAAACACCACTTACACAGCCATTAGTGGGTTAGTGCTTTCTCGGTGGGTCAATATCTGAGTCGGTGGTCTCTCAAAAACCCTAAAGAGCGATGAAGGAAAGAAAAGCTTCTCAAGGGTAAGTGAAGTAGTCTTGTGGAAAGGGATGAGATTTGGCACCAGAAAACTTGGCTTCCGTCTTTTCCTTGCTTAACGTCTCTGTACCTCAGATTGCTAATATGTACAGTGGGGCTTTCTCAATATACAGGGTCTTGGAATCTTTTGACAATATTTAGGAATAATTCCCTTCACCTTCAACATCACAGGGTTGTAGAATCAAACGAGGGGAAAGTGGTTTTATAAATTGCCAACAGGATCGCATTTTCGCTTTTTCTTCGAAGATCTTTAATTTTACAATTAAATAATGCATTGCTGGAAATCTGTCAGTAAAGATGAACCAAAAATTATGTAAGAAAAATAAATTTATTTTATTTATTTTTTTAGGAAAAATATGTTTAAAAAATAAATTTAAATAGCACTAAAAAGTGTTTTTATTTTTAAAATGCTGAAAAGTTGAGCACATGCATGCTAATCGTTCTTAGTGAATTTTTATGATTCAGTGGTTAAAAGAACTGGCAGCTTTCAAAACTATGTTTTAGTAGTTTTATTAGTAATCATAAAATTATTGGAATTCTATTTGTTTATGTTATATGATTTTTATAATATTCTATAGTTTGGGAACTAATTAAATCACGCATAGAGTTTGACCTTAAATAATTGACAAAGCAGGGAACTAAGATATTTTGAATGACTTAAAGTTAAAAATAGGACCTGTTTTTCATGATTGAATTTGTACTATGTTCTCATCCTACCTCTTTAAGATCCTCTTGGCTGTAACATATTCCCAGAATTTTCTTGTTTTTAATGCAATTGACAATTTAGAAAAGTACTAGTGAGGTGTGTTATAGACCCTTTCTCAGAATTTAACTGAGCTTTTCTCATGAGTAGACTGGGCTTATGAGCTTGGGGGAGGAAGACTCCAGTAGACACTTTAATTACTGGAGTTTAGGGACAGATAGCCAGGCGATTTTTCTGGCCTAAAGAAAAGCCTTTGTGCCTGAAGAGGTATGAGCCACAGTGACATCTCACAGCTGCAAGAGTGCTTAACACAAAGAGAATCTTCCAGCCTGTCCTTCAGTAGGTTTACTAACCTCAGGTGCTGTGGTCTGGTCACTGGCTTAAATCTTCTCTTCCTGAAGATTATCAACACTATCTCCTGTATGTTGTCTGTGGAAAAAAATATTTCCAGTCTTTGAACAGAATTTAATGGAAAAACAGTACTCATTCTATAAACATGCCCTTAGAGGCAATGTTACTGACCTGAAGTTGATATGTGAAGCCTCCACATTGTCCTAAGCATAAGTGTATGAGTAAGAAGAACACGGGATTTATGATGCTGACAAATGTACCTTTACTAGGAGAGAAAGAGTCAGTTAATGGAATCTCTCCCTCTGCACCAACCTGAGATTCCAGTAAGACAACTCCAGCATACAGACCCAAGTCATACTAATGGTCCAGCTCAGAAGAACCAGGTCTGAATTTGAATCTAAGACACTGGAGGAATCCCAAGGCCTTCTCCAAAGAATTAACTACTTTATTCCATTTTCACAAAGGCCATGCTGTTAGCAAAAGGAAAAGCACTTTCAAAGTATAGTAAAATATATATATGATGTGCTACACTTGCAGATGTGTATGTTCTATGTGCAGTTTTTCATTTTTGATGGAAGTGTCCTGATTTATATGCATTTAGTTACTCAATTCCTTTATAATCCTACTGTAACCTTCATAATGATTCCTTCCCATGTTGATATAATAATGAAAGCTTATACTTATTTGGACTATGTCTTTGATTTACATACTGCATCCCATTATTCCTGCCTGTTGTATGTACTCACTATCTTTGTCTATAAATGAGGAAATGCAGGCTTAGGAAAGGTAAGTAACTCACCTAGGGAGACACAAATAAAGTCAGAACTTGAATGCAATGCTAAGACTGGCTCCCAAGGTTAAAGCATATTTATGTTACAGTTCATTTCAAAATGCCTTCTGCCACAGCAAGAACCATGTCTTTTCTTAATTGTTGAAGTTTCACACTTGTTGATGTTTCCATATGGTATATACTTAATACCTGAAAACAATAAAGAGGATAATATATTATTACTGCTGATTACCGCTGTGAAGTAAAAACAAAGAACCACATCCTAATTGAGCCTCAGACCAACCGTAAGGTAAGAGAAGCCAGACATTCACCACCCCAAGCCCTGGAACCACAGTGAGAGGAGCTTGGCTCTTCATCTAAAGCATGGCATATTAGTAGAAAATTATAGAAAATATAGTATATTATTATATTAATGAGGTGTAGTAAGTCCAACAAATTAGGAGACATTTGCCTAGAAAAAATGGCTTTATACTTACAACTGCCAAGACAAGAGGTCACGCTATTCCGTGGGAGGTCACATGGGGGGCAATGGGGTCACTCTGGAAGTAGAGGGAGCGGGAACTGCAGGTAAGAGGCTTTCTGACAGTATCCAAGGGAATGCACGAGCAAGGCCATAGGAGCTGACGTTAGGGTTAGATAGATGCAATAATTTCAGTGGTGTCTGGGCACAAGAGCCTACACTCCACCACACAAAGTCCAGTGTCCATCAACCATCACAAAGCTGATTAGCAACTCTTTTACTTAAATCCGTTTCATTAGCAAGATACATTTTGTACACTGCTGTGTTATGGGCAAATTATACACACTCAGAAAGAGAGAGAGAGAGAGGGAGAGAGAGAGAGTTTACCTAAGTGTGAGTTCAGCATCACACACCATTGTCCCCTCCCACAGGGTTAATCCCCCATCACATATTTTTCAGAGTCTAGATTTACTGGGTCCACGCTGACATGGCCTTTTGTTTGTTGTTATTTTTCAAAAGCTTTAAAATATAGAGCTAGACCTTCTTATTTTGACCTATAGCTTCCTTATAACAGGAAGCAATGTCTTCAAATCTAATGGTACTGCTTACTCTAAGAAATGTTTTCTTTACAATCATGACAAAATCAAATACCACATTCTTTCAAGTTGCAGCAAACACTTTATTCTCCTCATTAATGTCTCAAAACCATTGGAAATCCAAGTCCGAAAAAGTCCTTCAGCAATAAATGTCAGTGTTTCACAGAAAAGATGAAAGAACTTTCAAGAGAATAACGTGTCCATTAACTGTATTCCTGAGTGTTTTTCTTTCGTAAAAACACCAAACTTGAATAAATTAGGTACAGCGTCGATAGAAATAGAAGAAATAATCTGTGAAGAATATCCCAGCAAAATAAGGATCCGTTGAACAGTCGGCTAAATCCTGTCAGAACAGGAGAAAAGAAAGATTAATGTAAAAGTTAACTGTAATGAAAGTATTTTATTTAATCCTATAGTGGCCAATTTCTTACTAAAAAGAAAATAAAAGGCAAGCTTACTGGTGCAGCTACACGGAAATGGTATGCACTGTCAGAGAAGGGGGCCACAGGAAGGTTCCAAATGTGCTGATATCCCTAAAAATGAATGAGAAAGATCCATTTCATAACCACACTGTCCACTCACTTGGCAAGAGCATTGGCTTAACAAGTAAGGAGAGGCAGCTGTGATAGCAGCTTTTGATAGGTGTCACTAGAACAGTCTGCAGCTTCTAAACGACACTAGGAAGACACTGATCCAAGCCTCATGACCACGGTCAGCCGGCACAAGGAAGCACCGAACTTTGGCTCAAGACATCCCTCCCACAGTTGGCTAGAGGCTGCAGTTCTAAAGATACTTCTGGAACAGGGGAATAATATCAAGGATCCAGATAACATTACCTGTGTCATCTCCTGGGATACTTCTCCATAGCTTTGAGTCCCTTCAGCTTGCTTGTTACTATGGAAACATATATTTCCCAGGGTGAATTTGCATTGGAAGACTATCAATGGTTCTGTTGTGCTTCAAGAGACAAAGGAAAGAGGGCAAGTGGAAAAGCAGTTACCAGTTCCTACTCGGCTGCATCTTGGTTAGAGGGGTGAATGGGAATACAACTTGGAAACCCCTTGAAAGCTCACAAAGTTCATTATTACACAATCCTCAGTGATAGCAATAGGCTAGCTCACATCTTATTACACAGACAGAAACCTACCCGCACGTGACTACTGAAATAGCTCGGGATGGTTCCTAAAACCAACCATTCTGTCTAAACCACTTTATATCAGAACTTATTATTTCTAAAAAATTTGAATAATTTTTGATATATCATTCTCTTTTCACTGACAGCTGAATTTACACTTATCTGAAGCTTGTAAGATTGTAGATTCTGAAAGGTCCTGGCCTGGATACACAGTATTTGCAATAGCAAAGCAAACAAATATAAGTAGGGGTTTGTGAGTGAGTTCCATTAGAAATCAACAGTATTCAAAGTTATCAGAATGGAAGGATGAAAGAATGGTTCTTCTCTGAAAATCAACTCACCAGTCACTACTAGGAGGACGAGATTTATTTCTCTTTGAAACAACCCTTTTGCACAAGTGGAAACAATCCACATCTTCAGGTGAGTTTACAGTAATCCCCCATCACCCAAGGAGGGTATATTCCAGATCTCCAGTGGATTCTTGAAACCACACATAATACCCAACCCTATATGTACTATCTTTTCTCTTAAACCTACATACTTATGATACAGTTTAATTTATATATTAGGCACAATAAGAGGTTGACACCAACAATCATAAAATAGAGTAATTATAACAATATACTCTTGAAAATATTCTATTGCTGGAATTTTTCATTTAATATTTTTGTACCGTGATTGACTATGGATAACTGAAAGTTATACTAGGAGTAAGGGAGGACTATTGAATGTATTATTTTAAAATCACCCATTTGAAAAATGGTTCATAGACTAACAGGCCTGATTTAGTAGCTCAAGGCAATCTTCTGCCACTTTAAGCTCATAATATTTAATCTTATTTCCTTTTTGAAGCTAAGAATGAAAGGATATACTATTCTAGCTTATCAAAGAGTGCTAAAGAATAGCTCATTTAGAATGGAAGAACAGCACACGGCATGTAAAGATAGCACGTTTAACGTGTGAGAATAGTACATTTAGCTTTTCTCTGCCTTGAAATATAATGGATTCTGAGTCATGAAACATTAGGTGCCTGAAACAAGGCTTTGCAAGGCAAGCAGCTGGGCTGAGTGTCATTACCTGCTCATCCACACAGGGCTGGTGAGAAAAAAAAGTGTGGAGCCTAAGTAAAACAGAGGAGACAGGTGGGGTGACCAAGGAAGATGAACTGTCCTAGGGAGACTGGGGGAGAGTGGGGAGGCCAGAGGAAGAGGAAGGAGCGGGGGAAAGGAAGGGGAAAGGGAAGAGAGGAAATGTGGAGGGGGAAATAAAAGAGACTCAAATCAAGAGATAAAACACCACACTATCATCATGGTGAGTAACTGATGGCATAATTTTTTAGTAAAAAGGTTGTCAGTCTTTAAAGGCCATAATTACTTAAAATACTAAATCATAGCAGGTTCAGTTACAGTTCTGTGATTTTGGAGAAAATGACAATGTAATAATAGCTGCATTAATTGAGCGCCTACTATGGGTCAGAAGGAGCAATGTCATGACAGAGCTCATCCCTCAGGGCAGGCGGAGAGTGACTGTTGGAAGGGAGGCTGTGCTTGCCTCCCAACCCCACTACTTACAAGCTGTGAGTTTCAGAACACATTTTTTTTTACCCCTCTATACCTATCATGTGTTTCCATCTGTAAAACAAACTGGAGAAAAAAGTGCCATCTAGGGAAGGTTACCGTGAGGATTATAGACCCAAAAATAAAGTGTTTCGTGTCTGGCCCGTAGTCTGTGCTCTGCAAATGGTAGGTATTAATTCCACCAATATTAACAATAATTCCCATAATACCTCTGTATGTTATGTTATAATATAATACTCATTTTATAAAAAAAGAATGGTAGATCAGAGAAGTTGGCTTTTCCAAGATCAGAGGATTAGTAAGTGACAGGAACAAAATTTGAAAATTAGTCTGCCCAATTCTAAAATCTGGTTTCTTTCTTTTTTCCTTTCTTCCTTCCTTCCTTCCTTCCTCCCTTTCTTTCTTTCTTTCTTTCTTTCTTTCTTTCTTTCTTTCTTTCTTTCCTTTTCCTTTCTCTTTCTCCTTTCCTTCTTTCCTTCCTTTTTTCTTTCCTTCCTTCCTTCTTCCCTTCCTTCCTTCCTGCTTACCTTCCTTCCTTCTTTCCTTCTTTCCTTCTAGGATGGGGGACAGTGTTTGATTGGTTTGAATTTTTTTTCCTGTCCTAAACAAAATAGTCAGGTAGCCTTCCCATAGAGAGACCAGATGACCAAGGTGATTAAAAACTATGGTGAATGTTCAAATTTTACAGATTTATTAGAGTAGAAGATACAGTGCCACTAATCCCCATCAAAATATTCCCTCCTTGCTTTGAACATATGTACCCCATCATTGTTGCCACTTTCTGAGGCAGTTCTGGAAATCCTCTTTCATGAATGTCTTTATAAGGTGTAATCAAAAACACAGGGAATGCTGCTGTCGAATAGCATTCAATGGAAAGCAATGCAAAGGCAGGCTCATGAAAACATTGTGGTGTGTCCTCATCCACCCAGAGACTTTTGGCCCTTCCCCAAAGTTAAAATTACCAAGAAAGGTAAATGTTTTTAAGCAATTCAGGAAATCAAAGCAGATGCAAAACATTCATGGGGAAAAAAAAAAAGAAGACTTCCAGAAATGTTTGAGAAAGTGCCAAGAGTGATAGGATAAGTGTGCTCAAAATGAGAGACAATTTTGAGGGGGTTCAATGACAATGTGTCTTTTTTGAAACAGGGTTTCACTCTAAGTTCAGGCTGGGCTTAAACTCACTTTGTAGCCCAGGCTGCTATCAAACTCACAGTGCTCCTCCTGCCTCAGCCTCCTGAGTGCTGGGATTACAGGCATGACAATGTCTTTTACTGTAATAATGTTTTTTTCACTTAAACACAACACATTTTTTCAATCACACAACATTGCTATTGCTCCTGCCCTGTTCTGAAGGGATAGTCAGGGGAACACTGCAGCTGTGAGCATCAAATCAAAGCCACTCCCATGTCACAGGCTTGCGTGTGGACTGGAGCCCACTGTTGCCTGGAAGCCTGGATGCTCCCTGCCCTCACCACCCGCCTCCCTCAAGCCAGCCAAGTCTCCGCCATCACTCACGGACTGACAGCTTTCCATCACTCACAGACTGAAATGTAAATTCAGTCTTGTCATTTAATTAGCAATAAAAAAACAAAAAAAAAGTCTTTTAGAGCTATGTACTTACTTGATTTCCAGAGAGAATTTGACTCTTGTAGGTGTGTTCTTATTAACGGGAATATTGTAAGAATAATATCCAGAC